CTAGGGGAGCTCCCCTCTCTCTCTCTCTCTCTCTCTCTCTCTCGCTGGTGGGTCTCCTTCTGAGGGCCTGAAGTCAGGGATAAGCCGACCCCGCACCTAGGGTGCGAACACAAAGAGAAAGAAACCTCACTTCTCTCTTGCTTCTTCTCTTCCCAACTCCCGACTCCCGTGCGTCGCCGCACGCTCGGCTTGGTTGGTCTGTGAGAGACTGCAAGGCTGGGTCGGGGCAGGGGCAGGGAAGGTCACCCACATTGTACTTGACTTGGAACGCCTTAGACGAACATGTGAACTTCGTAGTACAGCCCACTCGTGCAACCAACCATGTGGGATACTCCTTCCAGCACTGGGCTCCCTGCCTAGTGACAGACCCGCTGCGGCTTTGAAGTTGGCAGCGTGCTGCAGCGGAGGCAAGTACCAACGAAACCCCTTACAATTGCAGCACCACCCAAGATTGAAGCATGGAAAGATTGCAATACGCATCTTCCTGAATTTCAGCCTCTCCTGAACATTTGCAGGCAGGTTAAAATCGGACCGACCGGACCCTTTACAATTGAAAACCTCAATTCGCAGCACGCCGAGTGCACCTCTGGGCTGTCGGATTTCAGCTTTTCTACTGCGGCAAGCCTGGGCACGACTTTGCAGCTGGGGGAATCTCGATGACCGCCGTGAATGTGAAGGAACGGGCCGATTGAAGATTGGCTCTGTTCGGGCTCCGGCTTTGCCTCCCTGCAGGTGTGTTTTCGCCGCACTTCTGAGGACCCGACCCGGCCAGGAACATGGCAGGCTGGCAGTACCTCGTCTCTTCCAGCTTGTCCTCAGATGCTGCAGGGAGCTTTGGATCCGGAAGAAGCGTTTAGATCGGTTCGTTCCACACTGCAAATCCTGCACGAGTGGTGCAACCTGCAAGCTTGCATTGACATGGTGGCAGGTGGACGTATCAGATCAGAATTGATGTGGGGGCTTCTCATTCAATGCATTAAACCGGTGCCGCAAAGGCGCTTCTGGTCCCTCCAAGCAGAGCTGCAGGAGATCATAGCCTCGCGCCGAGGAACACGGAAGCTCAGAACACAACTTGCAAAGAAGGCTTCAAATCCTGCTTCCCGGCGCGGCTTCGCCGGCAGCTGCCGAGGCCCCTGCCCAGGATATCCTTCGCCTTGCTGAGCATGTCCTGCAGCGCGGCACGTTGCTTCAGGGATCGTTCTCCTCTGCCCCAGGCCAGAGCCTTCTCAGAGCTCCGAAATTGAGCACAGAGGGGCTGTAAGGCTGTAAGTAAAGGCCTTGCCCAGTCGGGACTCGAACAGTTCTTCTACGAGGCCTGAAACAAGGTAGCTCGCATCACTTGCGGCAAGGGCCGCAGGCCGAAACTGGACGACTTTTTTGGTCTTCAGCAATCTTGCATCTCGCTGCGGTGAAACCCTGAACCCCGTGTGGACACAGCGCAGGGTCCTGCACAGGCTTAGCTAAAGGATCAAAAGGATGCAAGCAAGGTGCTGCAGCTTCAGCTGCTGCAAGTGCCATTTTGACGCAACCGGCTGATGGCTGCTCCGAATGCTTTGCAAACACTTCGATTCGATATAGCCTCGGAACTTGCAGTCGCAGCCCTAAGAAGTCACTGCAGATCACTGGAACACCTTGATGTAAGAAATGTTGAAGAAAGCTCGCTCTTTCAGGTACGTCTCCGTGCCAAACCTCAAAGCATCGCAGCGCGGGTTCGCACGGGGGGCCAGAGGCTCTCTCAGGATCCTGCAAGGGACGCTTTTGGTTTTAAAAGGCTGAAAATCCACGCTTTGCCCTGGCTGTGCCTGTCGTTCTCGTCCCAGATCCACTGGGTGCAGCAGTCCTGGCTGCACATGGCCCCAAGCTGAACCTCTGAACATCGCTGAACCCGTGAATGGCACATCTCCAGCATAGGACAATTCTGTACACTGGCACGCGCGCCCATCCTGGTCCGGTGCATACCTGGAGCGCTTCTGAGAGTGCTTCTCGGGAACGACCGTTCGGCGAAAGGCGGCAATAGGGTGGGATGGGCTTAGAATTTGTTGCTGGGGTTTGTTGATTTCTAGGGGTTAGGATAGTTTCGGACAATCAGGGCTGAAACGGCCCAGCAATGGGGATCGCGGGATGGACACTATGGCTCGTTTGATTGCATATGCCCTGCTGTCTTCTTATGGTTCTTGCATGTTCTTGGCTGCACATGGAACTCCAAGTGCGTCGGTTCAAACTTTCGATAGCTGGATCATTGAAATGCCTGGTTACACTCCATAGACATTCGTGAGTACGGAAATCTCGAGCTCCCGTGCAAATCTAGGAATGGAGCAGTGAATGTCTTGAGGTTCATGAGCCTGCTCAGGTCCGATTGGCTCTGGATGGCATGCGAACTGCAATGCAATCCGAGGAACTCCGCCAATGGATCCACCGCCCGGCAGTTAGGCACCCTTGGCCCACGAAGAGCGCTTTTTGAATCATTAAAGCTCGTTGTGAGAGCCGGTATGAACCGTCTACTAGTATGGTAACCTAGTATGGTATGGCCCAACAGCGTGATGCACTTCCCTCAACTGCCACTCCGATCATCGTTCACACGCACTGTGGGGTTCTGAAAACCCTTTATCAAGTCAGCTGAAGTCTTCTTGCTGCCTCGCCACCGCCAGTTGCAATTCCCGTCCGCACCTCAAGCCAAGCGGCACTCGGTAGGGTTGCGATCAGAAGATTCTTCGTACTTAGACCTAGACTTGTTCTGCTACATCAATTCAAGCTATCAAGTTTCGATGATACTGATGTTCACATGTCCACCGGACGGCCGCGGGTCTGAGGCCCCGACCCCACACCTGCATATGCTCGCAGTAAACATGCAGGTAAGTCGAGATCTAGCTGGCCAACCACCAAGTTTTGGGTGTACAGTTTTTGGTAAGTTGGGCTTCTGTGCGGCTGAAGCATTGGAAGCAAGTGGGTGTCCGTTGGCCCGGAGCACGGATGTTCCGCTTGCATTGCGGCATAGCATGTTCTAGTTTCATGCAATCCAGCGAAGCATCTCTTCGTGACTTGAAACCGACGGAAACTCCCAGCCCTGTCATCACAACAAATTCTCTCGCCCTTGGCCCGAGCGCCAACCACTTCTCCACAACTCCCCCCAGGGCGTAGAACTTCCGATCCGAAGCGCAGCCAAGTGCATGAAGGCCCAATGGCCTTGCCGGCCCAGTCGCCACAAAAGTTGATCTGCATCATCAGTTTCTGCTCCTGCGCTGTTACTCTTAAAAAAATTGGTGTGGTCACTGACTCTTCCTGCTTCTCTGGCCCTGACTGCATACGTCCCGGCATCCTCGAAGATGCACTTCGTCCCAGTGAAGGGGTAATACGAGAACAGCCAGCGATCATCCCAGGTCTCGGCAAGAGCTTTTTCCCGGGTTCGAAAGCAGACTTGGCCATGACATGCCATCTTCTAGAGTTCGGTCTTCCAGACGGTCCAGCTTTTCATGCATGCAGCAGCCGTTTTCGGCAAAGGTATGTCAGAATGTTCATGTATACGCCCCATGCCAGTGAGCTTCGACGTGACGCGATGTGGTTCATGAAAGACTTCCTACAATACAGAAAGGCCGCAGACCGTGAATCTTTCACCCGGCCTTGTCTGGGCTTGGGTTGTCTGCCAGGATGTCCTGACGAGTCAGACTTCTTGCTTTCGCTGCCAGTGGAGTTTCGGACTGCAGTGCTTCGGGCTTGGGGGTTGCAGACTGCGGACGCAGTCCCTGGTTGACCCTGCTAGTCGGGGTCTCTACGACATGAGATGTTCAAAGCTGGTCGTAGAGGTGATACACCTGTGGCCACGAACGAAGAAGTCACTTGCACGAAGCACGTCATAAACCAACACCGCGCAGCGACCGACTCCCAAACGACTTCAGCCCCTGGACCAAGCCTGCGGAATCTCATGCTCAGGGATATAGAAGATCCTGGGCCGTTTGCATGGAGTCTACTGCCTGCTCCCGTGACCAACTTGTCCAGCCCAAAACAAGTGCCCCATGAGCTGAAACTGTTGAGGGGTGTTTGCGGATGTCAATTGCAAGGGTGTTGGCTGTGCTGGCGCACAACAAGCGCCCCACTCTGCAGAGTCAGCGTCAGTGCAAACTCTTTCATTATCATGCTTGGCGAGTCTCTTAAGGAAGGACTCCGTCCACTGGGTCGCCAGGATGCCTGTCCGATGCGATGCTCACTCCGAACTTGGCCATTTTTCGCAACAGGACGCCTGTAGCATTCCGGCTTGGCAGCTGAAGAGAGCTGCAGTTGAATAAGTAAGTAGCATATCACTTCTTCCAGACAGCTCGTCATGCTTCAAGTCCTTGAGCGGCCGGTGGCCTGGGCTGTGGGCCCACTCGGTACCGGACTTCATCCACTTGTTCGGAGCACAGCCCAACCTGGCGATTCTGAGGTGACAAGCAGCGACCGCTGTGCTACGTCAACACAGCGGTCTACAAAAGGAGACTCGAAGCCATTTAATCGCACCAGGGTGGACACTACTTCGCGTGTATGCCTGTCCGGATAGTCGGTGACGCAGTCGTAGTCCATGTTGTTCCTGCAGAGCGGGCTTGCGGCTGGGAATCGAGGGTTGGACAACGTGTGTGCCCACCTTGTATACTCGTGACGACTCGTGTTGACCCTTTACCCCGGAGCGCTCATGGCAGCGTCCTGTCTGGCATGGGCCCATATTTATTCACTTTCTCCGCACTCAGCTTGCACTCGCCGCCGGTGTGGAAGGATGCCTGCTGACTTCGTTCTGGATGACATGTTTTGTCTTTCCGCCTTCTGCCAGGCTACCAGCCGACAACCCAACCTTCATCCGCAAGACAAGCCGTTACGAATGCAAGCCTGGTCCCCTTCCCCAAAGAGCTCGCGGCCTTGGAGACATCCATGTTCACCTCTGCTGTTGGACGTGTCTTGGAGAACGAGTGTGCAGGGGTCCTGTCTTAGAAGCCGCAGCCCCAGTTTCCAGAAAGGCTTTCCAAAACTCTTGCAAGCACATGGCATGGGTGCATGGTGGATCCGTGATCCGATTCCGGCCGTAAGCTGTGAGATGCCGGCAGGCTGAGGTCTAAACCGTGGCATCAAAGTCACACCCTGAGGGGACAACTCGGGATGTGATCGAAGCTTCGAGAGCAAAGCCTGCAAAGCCTTGAACCACGAAGGCTCAAACCCTTTCACCCTCACCAAGGCACGTATTCCAGGATGTCGAGCTCGCCACCGTTTGGCCACGGCACATTAGGTGCCAACGTGAATAATGCAGGCCACACCTTGGGTGTGGGGAATTGAACCGGTTTGTAGAGCTCGCTCGCAGACTTCGATTACACCTTAAGTTGATGCGCTGCGGGATTGACGACGCAGCGAAGGCGTCGATTTACATTAGATGGCACGATTGAGGTCATGATGAAGCCTTGTGCCTCAACGGTTTTGCGCAATCTTGTTTTGCAGCTCGGGGTGTAATTTCCATACGGACCAAGAAGATCGAGGGAGGGGAAGCTGAGGCGCAAGCTCCACAGCCATAAGGCACGTGGGAGAACTTGATCAGCGTCAGGAAATACTTCCAGCTTCGCTTGGATTCCTGAAATTCACAGGTGGTCCCCAGATGTTTCCAGGTCTCTCTTCTCTCTGCCAAACGCTCCAAAATACGAGGGCCAATCACATCTCCTTTGTTTGCAACATGCTGCCAATGCTTGGAAGTCTCATGCCATGACGGACCGGCTTTGCTGGAGAAGAGGGAAGCTGGGAAGCCGGGTAGATGGCTTCCCAGAAAGCTTTCTACTGTATGTGCTGCCGCAACTGTCTTCACATGCCGGGTTCCGAGGTTGTCTCACTTCAATCGGCCAGAATATACTTCTTCTTCTTCATCATCATCAGCATCAGCTTCAGCATCATCATTGCTGAGCGTCTCGGCCCTATTCGGCTTCCCCGGGTGCCCTGATTTCATGCCGCGCTCAATGGAGCAATCCGAGCAGCTGCGCTGTTCCTTCCTCTGGGCACTCTTCAGATCACACCGAGGACTCCCAGTCCCACTCCTCAGAGTTCGAACACTCCCGGCGTATTTCCGAGGACGAGGGAACAATCCTCAACTTCAACGTGCCGCAGTTCTTGGAGTTTCGGAACCGCACCCTCCTCGAATGGCGCTGGTGCTTTTATGAGGACGAGTTGTGCTCTCAGTGTGGGGACAGAAGGACAGGAGAAGATCCGCTCGGCTCACAAATGCCGAACGTGCACAACATATCTTGCCAGCGGCAGAAGTTTTGGAGCAAACTGCGGCGCAACTGGACCCAAGCCCAAGCAGGGCAGCCAGCGCACCGCACCCCGGAAGGGCTATTCAACAAGAACGACTGCAGATGGATCCTCACCACAGCCTCACAATACGCCCCGCGCATGTTTTGCTGCCGAGCCTTAGCCGCCTCGCCTACACAGAGCTCCAGACCCGACTGGACACGGAACCGCTTGCCAACTATGGGGAGAGCTCTCTAACATGGCTCAACCGCAGATTCCATATCAGCACGACATGCCACAGGTTCTTCGGATCTCTTTGGCCTCTCATCAGGCCCCAGCTCGGTAGGATCCAGCACTGGTCCATCTACGAATTCCAGCAGCGAGCACAGCAGGCTTCTCTGCCAGCTCCACCGAAGGACCTAGGCCGTCTCGGCCGCACGGCCAGGCTGTGGCGATTTCGCCTGGCGCATCCCAAGCGACCTTTTCGGAGATCTTCCCGAACAGGCGCCTACCATCTGGTGCTGCAGCTTCGTCAAGCTGGTCTACTGAGTGAACTGATATGAGCTCATTGTCATATGGAAAGTGAAGCCCACGGCGTCAAAGATGCCAAGCGAAGGGCTGCTCCGGTCCCAATTTCGAAGGCTTCTCATACTGGCTTCGTAGACCTGGGGGTTGGGGGCTTGAAAGGTCGTAGACGCCCTGAGGCCGGGCAAGCCTCCCTTGCTCTTTTCCAAAACGGCACACCAGTTCGACCGCCAGCCCTCCATAGCCCACCTCACAAGCCATCATCGAAGCAAAGTCTTCAAGAATCATCACCTTCCGGCCATCCCTCGGTTAGTCCTAGCGGACTAGCGGATTTGCTGCGGATGTTTATGCTTCTGGTGAATTATTGAGCGACGCAGGATGGAGTTCCGTTGGTTTCGCCACTGACGCCGAGACGTGCTTGGGGCGGTCCGACGTCTGCAAATTGCAAGCGGCTTTGGGCGGTCATGTGCTTTAAAATCTAAAATAGAGGCGATGTTTTCGATCGTGTAATAAACTTGAGCTCATGTATCTTTCATTATCGTTCACAAGGCTTCCCCTATGGCTGGCCAACCGCCACCAGACAGCTCAGTAGTAGACCCAGAATGACTCATGACGCATGCAACCTGAAACACTGCCCGCTCCATCGCAAGGAGAACTCATGGCAAGCGACTGACTGCAATCAAGGTTCCATTCGGGTCGTCATACGCTTGTACTTGTACCTCGGTGCACATCTTCCGTGGGATCACAGATTCCGAGTTTGCATTATCTGGTTCGAATCTCGGCGGGTGTCTTGATCTGATAATTTGAGGGTTCGGCTTTGGACTCCTCCGACCAGCACGGATGATTGCGAAGTTGCCTCGGATTGGCCGTCTCTTTTCAGATGACTTGAATCGGCCCCCACCCGCAAGGTTGCAGGACTGTGCAGTCGGATACCACAAGGATAAAGCTTCATCAAAACCGACATCGTAGCAGGAACGACTACAGTATCAAGACGTCGCGATTGCATGCTTGTCATGTCCGGCTGGAACACTGGGCACATCTTGACACTATAGAAACCCGAGAAATACCGCAAGGTCATAGCTTCTTCTTCCGCCTTCCAAAGCCTCTGCTTTTAACCGAGCTGCGGGTGGCCTCAATTACGCTTTCTTCCTTTGCTTCTGGTTCCAAAAGGTACTGAGCTGAGCCTGGCAGCTTCTGATGCATGCATCCATTAGATGCATGAAAGCTTGAGTCGTATGGGTCTTGAGATGAAATTAGCACAGAACGGTAGGAAAAGCCTCAAGAGAAGCTCCGCCAGTTTCTCTCTTGCTGTTGTGGCTACCAGGCAGTTTTGAAGACGGCATAGACAACCCAAGATCCTTTCGCAAATAAGCAAGCGGACCATGGTTGTGGTCTTCCCAAAGGAAGTTCCAGTTGTCGAAGAAGCTCTCACCCTCACAGCAGAGCACTGAAGGGGGCTTCGGGAAACGTCTTTGGCTGCCACTCTGACATACCACGCTGTTGCTGCTGTTGCTCGCTTCTATGGATGCAAGGCAGCTCCTCGCGCCCACGCGCGCTGTGTCTCTAGTCCTGACGAAGGAAAGAGACTATCAAACAACTGAGCTGTACAACTCCCGGCCTCGACTTCAGACGGCCAGAGGGGTAGGCATTACAAATCATTGCAGTAAGTGTTTGTACAAGCACGGCTAGCATCACTAGCTGTGTGCAGAGCCGCATCTACCTACGGTTAAACCAGTACTTATCAAAGTCAAAGGTGAATGGCCATCAGCATGTCGGGGTTCTGCCCTGTGCCCTGGAAGAACATCGTGCTCCATGTGCTCCTCCATGTTCAGCATCGGGCACTTCTCGCGCAGCTGCTGGAAAGGGCAGCCGCACGCACGGTGGCACGCACGGTCGTCCCCACACTTGTCATGGCACTCCATCTTCTCCACCAGCTCGGTCTGAAGATCAGCATCTTTCGGTATGGGACATGCCTTGTGGCAAGCGCCAACGTAGGGCGAACCCGTCATGGCACGTCTTCACCTCCATCACGTCGGAGCAGAACTCAGCGTCCGCCTCCGCCATGGTAACTCATGTTGTGCTTAATGACGCAGATTCTGAGAGGAAGGGAAAGAATCACCGAAACAGCCGAAAGCTTCAACGGATAGTCCTTTCGATGTGCGAAGCCAAAACATGATTTCGCGGTGGCTTCGGGATTTCGGGCTCGTGGAAATACCGGGTTGCCCTTTTTGCATGCCTTTCCGGAAAGCTGCCACCGAACTTTGGTGCCGCTGATTGCGCACGTGTGAGGAAAGAAGATGCGTTTGATGCTGGAATGTGTGTCTATTGCCTGTCCGGCGTGTACCATCGTAGACGAAACACCTGTCCGTTTGCCAATGCTGCGGCGCACTTCCTTCCAGCGTTGGACTCCGGGCTGTCAGGCTTTCCTATGTGTTGAGGCCCATGTCCCGAATGGCTTCGTTCAAGTGCCATCGCATAGCCATAGCACCCGCCGGTCACCAGCCCTTCCAAATCCCCATAACCGGCCCTCCGGGCTCCCCCACCCAACCACATCACCATCATCAACACCACCCCACCAACCAACCGGCACCACGGCCACGGCCCCCCGTCCAGCCTTCCCATGACTGTTCCAACACTGCCTCCTTTTCCCTTTTCAGGGGCTCGTGCCCGCCGGCAACCTCCAGGTGCCACCCATGGCTCCCACCGTGGCAGCCCGACCACCCCAGCTGGAAATGCCCGGTACCCACCGCCAGGCCAGGTCGCTCCGCAGGTCTTGGGTGGAGGTTCTCAGTGCCCCATCGCTGTTCCTGGCCCTTCAGCTAACGCACAAGCCACTTATCGACTGCCCCAACATCCCACTTCGCCCACCCAAGGCGTCAGCTCTCCGCATCCAAGCACCCGACTGGGCCGCCAGTCACTTTGGCCCCAAGCTGCCGTCCAACCAGCCACCGAACACGCGGCCCAACCTTACCAAGCTCAAGTACCCCTCTCTGTGCCCTCCATTCCCAGGACCACACCCAACGCACCATGGCTCACCACAGAGGCAGCCAGCAGCAGCGAAGTCAAGCACGCCCCGGGCCACTCTGTTAAGAGAGCCGCGATCCAACGACATGCATGCATCCTCTTCGCTGGCTGCTGGGCGGTCTGAAGAGAGGCCCAAAGTCAAGTGTCTCGATGCGACTTGTGCTGATGGCTTGAGCCAAAGTGGCTCCAGGTATAACGGACAGGAGAGCGACCCTTGCAATCGCACAATCGCGGCCTTTAGGTTCTCTCTCCCTCCCTGCTCTGCACTTTGCTGCATGCACTCCTGCCTGCGCGGACCACTTCAGCCTGCCAGGGCTTTGCACTGCGCTTGCTGCCGTTCGGTTTGGCTTGTACATGCCGCATCCAACTCCAGTCATGAATAGCTCCATTCGCTTCACACCCCGTGCAAGCCGCCGCAAGTTCGTGGTTCAACGCGACCTCAAGTCCAAAAAAAAGCCTGGCCTGTATCGAGAAGAGCGCTCAGGTGGACCTTCCCCCAGGACCGTTCAGAAAATTTGTGGTAGGCTCCCGAAAGGCTGTGCCCCATGCACTATGATTTAGTTCCTGCAGATTTGACAACTTCGCTGCCACAATCTCCGGGTCACGATCTGCCACAATCTTCTGGGCGCCTGGTGAGACAGATGGAGCCGATGTGGCCGGCGTGGCTGGTGCAGTTGCCTGCCCATGCTTTGGACAAGCCCAGCGAAGCTTCAGTTCTCTTCTGGGGGCACTTAGATCTCAATCAGGGTCGCTCAGGACAGGCCGCAGACTGGACCGAGCCGGAGCATGGGGGGCTGGTCAACTTTCGGCTTTCGCCTCCGAGCTGGAGCTTGTTGTGGACGCCTCAGCGTCTGAGCAAGTTGAAGGGAGAAGCAGTATCCACTTTATCCTAGTAGAACAGTCATCCGAACCGTCTGACAGTTCCACTACGCTTTCGTCGCGGTCGTCGAAGTGGCATATCCGAGTCCTGGACGGTGCAGGTGGCCACGTAGTCATCACCTCGCGCAGTCACTTACGAGATGCTTTCGGTCTCGGAGCTGGCAGTGGCTTCTGCGAAAGAATGGCAGCTTGGTCCCCCCACAGCAGTTGCCAAAGTCCGCGCACTGGCTATTGCACTGGCAGCGCGATTCTGGCTTGTAGCTGCTCCTGCAGATGCAGGTGCAATCCATGCCGGACTCGAGGTCGGGGCAGGGGTCGATGTGGGAGCTTCAGGGCCGCTATAAGGCTTGCTAGCAGCAGAGAAGAGCAAGTGCTGCCGGGTTGCGTGCACCCGTAAGCGGCACATGTACCTGCTCAGCTACGAAAATGCCCAAACCAGAGGCGCAGTCGCGAGTGCATGCATGCAATGCACTTGGCGTGGATCATGGAACTGTGAGCCATGGTGTCTCTTTTCAATACCTCGCTGAAATCATGTTGGACTCGTCCTCCAACCTTCCAAGCTTGTCAGGGTGACATGTCCTTGTAGATGGAGCCGCTTCGCACGAAACCTGGGCGACCTTTGGCGTCTTCCTCCTTTACGTCCAAGCCATGGTCCAAATCGTCGAGGACCTGTTTGGTGAACAAGTACGGCACCACGAACCTGGACACTGAATCAACACTCACGCAGGAGGCGACAAGGAGCCTTAGTTTCTAAGTCTTGAGACGAGATTATTATGCGTGCAAGACAAGGCGCCAGCGCACTGGTACCAGGCTGATGAAGAAGAGTGGGAAGTAGAGCCCAAAGTCGGCATTCACCATCCAGCAGGCGGCGACTAATGCAATCTGAATCAGAGTGTAGAGGTGCAGGCTGGAAAGCGGTACGTTGGCGAATGGCCCGGTCTTGGGAAAGAAGCGCGGGTCTGTCACCATCAGTAAAACCCGCTCGTATAGCTGTGTGCTCTGGATGCCGTCGATTCCAACAAAGATCAGGGTGCCAAAGACCGCGGCTTTCGGCACATGCTCTAGCAAGGAAGGCGCCAGAAGAGGCAAGCCAATGAGAAAGTAGCAGAGGAGGGGCGCCAAGCGATTCTCGCGGACTCTCGTGATGCGATGCTCCTCATCGGTCTCGGCCAATGACAGCACAAACTGGGGTGAATGGGGCAAGGAGCCAGTCACGAAGGGCAGCCCGAAGAGCGGCCCGACAGTGTTGAAGAAGGCCATGCATGCGAACGAGGAGTGGTAGTAGCTGCCCTTACTCAGCTTCATTTCCGGCTTCTGGCAGAGGCTGCTGGAGATGTTTTGGTCAAGGTAGAAGAACACCACCACCGGGAAGGCTGCCAGTGCAGCACAAAGCACTCCCCTCCCAGAGATAGCAGTGAGGTCCGTATTCCACGGTCGGTCGCTGGTGGTGTTGAAGCCGCTTGTTTTAGTGTCGATAAATGTCACGGGGAACAGGCCCTGGTTCAGATATCGCGCTGCGAAGATCGACACGAATAGGCTGATGGTGAGCGCATAGTCCTTGAGAAACATCCGGCCCTTGAACGTGAGGAGCTTGGAGGATTGGAGCGTGCTTAGCCACCTGCATGCAGCCCGTAAGCTCGATCGGCCCTCTTTCCTCCGGGTTCCTCCCATCCCGTTTACATGTGTCTCCGGTTACTCGAGCTCTACGTAGACCTTGGGGCTAATTGCTGTCCTGATTGCTGTCCAGGAGCAAAGTAAGGGCTGTGAAGCCGATGGTCATGTTAAGTGTGAGCAGCTTCGACGCTGCAGCCGAACTGCCATAGGAGACCTGCGTGCCCTCTCCCCAAAGCCGGATCATTCCCTGAATACCGTCGTTGATATAGACCTGGGTTCAGGGCTCGCAGAGGCTTTCATGGCAGGCTTTGAATCGTCATTTACCACTTCTTTTTGAAGCCCCGACCATTCCGATGAAGGTGGCGAAGATGTTCTCCGTGAAAAGAGAGAGGTGCCTCACGTGCTTGCAGAGCTCGAACGCCGAGATGAGGAACATGAGCAGACCAACAAAAAGGCCAGTCCAGGCGAAGAATGGCCAGAAAGGCAAAGAGTGCTGGTTCGCGAAGTCTAGCAGCTTCTCGAAAAGAAGCGTGATGGGCCCCGTTGGACGGAGGACAAGAAGCGGCTGACACCCCAAAACCGAGTGAGCCATGCCAGCGAGGCTGTTCATCATGAGGTATTCGTTAAGGCCAATCAAGCCATTGGTGGACTCCGTGATGTGCTCCCCAAGAGCCAAGGTGGATGTGAACGTGGCGAAGAACATGAATAAGGCTGAGGAGATGGTCTTGGAAGTAAAGGCATCGCTCGTCCAGTCAGACACCAGGAATTTCGATCTTCCTGGGATGCCACTTGAAGATTCCGGCAGGTAGACATTCCCTGCCTAAAGCAAAACAGCAAAACCCAAATGGCTGCTCAAAGCCCGACCTAGCCCAGCTTCGACGGTAGTCTTGCGCCAGGCCACCACAGAAGCCTCCAACCTCTTCCAAGCCTGTGGAAGAGGTAAAGAGGCTTGTGACTTCAGAAGTCTCGCGAGGTGAGTCTTTCGGAGAAGGGGTTAGCATGATTAGCACCCACATCCCAAGATCATCACTTTCTGCAAGCAGCCATGCATCTGTAGCCGGTGGAAAACCCACAGCTCTGGACGCTTTCACAAACCCTCGACTGAAATAGCCTCCAACCTCCCTGCTACGCCACAAGATGCGCCTGGAAGCTCTCTCTTTGGGGCCCTGCGCCGTACCTTCTTCTCGCCAGCCTCCGTATCCTCCGAGCCCGGTGCTTGGTGCATCGAGATAGGTCTCAGCTACCTAGCCTGAAAGGAGCGGGGATCCACGGCCTCCCTACGGAGCCTGCACGTTTGCAATGCTTGTTGGAGCCTGAACTCCTCCTCGCAGGCTCCGTAGCTGGCTGAGGAGGCCAAAATGGCGGATGCCGCGCCAGAGGCGGCGGCTTCGGCGAGTTCGGGGCTCTCCTCCGAACCAATCAGAGGCTTCAGGCTTGGCACGGTTGAGGCTTCGAGCTTGAGGCCACAGTCTTGAACGCCCTAGCAATCGAGTCGATCTCTGAAGGTCGGGCAGGAGGCATGCACGCACAAGCATGTTGGAAAAGGGACTTGCTGTTCGAGTCGAAGGCTATTCAAGCTTCCGGTTTTGCTGGGTGCACTTGGCTCTCCTCCGACTGCATCGGTGGCTCACACCTCAGACTTGGCAAGGGAAAGAAAAGACTTCTGTGCAAGGCCGTTCAAGATCCCTGGTGGAGTGTTCCTTTGACCCTTGGGCGGCTTCAGTTTCCCTGTGACAGACAGAGAGTTCATGATGCTCCCCAACCCGATACGGTTCACCAGCTGAGCAGCTGAGACTCGGACGGAATATGAAAAGCGGCCCGGAAGGAATGCAGGCCAGGTTCAGTATCAGATGGGGTTTCTCTTGAGCCGGAGCAAGCAAAAATGCAGCGCGCTTCTCACAGGCATGTGAGATCAACACCTGTCAACCGCTTATTTATCTCTTTGCGCAACCTACACCTGCAGCACCTCAACATCCATAGCTGAGGGCCCAGAAACAGCAATCGGAAGTTCACGGAACATGCACAGCTCGCGGCCTCGTTGCGGATGCGAGGCCTCAGCAGCTTTGCTTCAAGATTCCACGCTCCTCTGTGATCGTGCAACAAACATCCGCATAATTTGCGCCGGAATTTTCTGCAGAAGCCGCGTGAGTGCATGCGTCTTTGCGACATATGGACATGTCAATCTCAGGCCAAGCTCCGGGCACATTTCTCGGAGAAGTCAGGGCCTGCGTCGAGACGCAGGGGTTCAGCAGGTGCTTTGGTCTCTGTTGGGTTTACCTGTATTGGTCGAGTTGCAAGCTTCAGCTGTGCGATTCTGATGGACGGGGATAATTGATGCGAGCTGGACTGGAGAACTTACCTGTCACATTTGCTGAAGGCTGAGATCGCGGCAGCAGTTCCCGTACTGGGAACAGGCAGGGTTGCACTGGCACGTCATCCAGTAGTGATAATGGTGCCTCGGTGGCTGACAGCCTACTTAATACACCTTCTGAGGGCATGAATCGGCAAACTCCGAACCAATCTTCTTTCGGACATTGAGGTCCTTGCGTGCAGCCATAGTCTGAACAACGACCTCATCCGACAATCTTTCGATGTGCCGGTCTAAAGTTGATTATTTCTCTGCTGAGGCATCTGACCACCTGGAGCAGATGACACATGAAGCTTTAAAGACTCTGCCAAGGGCACCGAAAGCCAAACCTTGAAACCTTGAGTCCCGCATCCCATTCTTCGTTTGCCGCCTCCCCAAGAAGAGCCGTCCTTTGCCTGGCGGAGTTCTTCGACTGCACAGTGACAACCCTCGAGATTGCAAACTTCGTCAGACCGATAACTTGAACCGTTGCCGCAGCACGCACAGCATCTTTCACTTGAAGCTCAAGCTCTCCCCAGGAAGGAAGGAGGTACAACGCCTTGAGGTGAAGACAGCATGAAGATTTGTAATGAAGAGAATCTCTGAGAGTTCCGAACCTCACCCCATCATGAGAGGCTGACTTGATCCGTGCCGAATTTTCTGATCGAAGTTTGAAGGCTGTAACGTCCCTAGAACTTTGAGGCCCAAACTCTTACAGTAACCAAGCTGCACCAAGCTGCTGGTGCCAGGTAACCGTGCATTCCGAACCTTTTCAGCCTCAAAGACCCAAAAGCGAAGCCGGAAGCGGACACCCTGCAGCTTCCCTGCCCAGGCCTCTTGGAGCCTTCTTCCCGAGCGCTGCAAAGCATTCAAGGCGCAGCCTGGAGAGGTCAGGTCTAAAGAGCCTGCGAGTTCGCATGGGTTTTCCGTCAACTCTGACCAAGTGATCCAACATCAAAAAAGCAAAAAAGCAAAAAGCCCTCTTCGATCTCGAACCCTGGCTCATGCCTCAAGGCATGCTGCTCTCTAAAGCACTGGTTGTCACCGGACCAAACGGACGGACAAGCGCAGCAGGCATGTCAAAGCTGTGAAGTCGCCTCTTCTTCGATTTCAGATTTGAAGATAGCAATGAGCTGCCGCTGCCCGGCCGATGCATCAGTCACCCTAAGGTCTCACGCATGTACCCAACTCATCTACTCAGCGCGTTCTCGCACTCCAAGTCCTGACATTAGCAAAAGGCTACATCCGCCAGCCTTCCGTGCTGCATTCGTCATCCTGGGTGTGCAGGCTGCTTTCCACGTACCCTGCATTGCTGGAAGACTCTGCTGCTGCCAGAATGCATCGGAAGAGCACAGTACAGTAGTAACATTTTCGCTACTTTAAGCGGATGCTCTGCACAAACCAAGAGTAAACTCCGACGCCGCCTGTGAATGAGTTCAAGCCCTAGCTTCAGCAACGGGGGGAACCCAGCACCAGAAACGCAGCGAACACGCGCCACCCAAAAGCCTGAAGGGGGTCTTGGACAGTGCTTGGTCGTACTTATGGCTCATTGCGAATTCAAACTCCCATCTACGACGCTGCCAACATTTGACGTGTGGCCCCTAAAACCCTGAATGGGCGACGGCGCTTCAGCCGCACCGCCCACCCCGGATAGCGTTTCAAATCTTTCAGTGACAAAAGAATGGGTTTTGGGTTCCTAATTAAGGGTCTTCGTTGTGGGGCCTCGCAAGGCCCGGAACCCTCCACCCGCGTGAGTTATGAGAGCTTGCCACCTAGTTCATTTCCGTCGTTGCATCGACCATGCTCGTAACAAATATGCTTGCTTTGCTTCCGTCATTAGAACTTACACATAGCTTCTCAAATGGGCCGATGCAAGCACCGCTGTGATGGGATCAACCCGAATTCTCAACAGCAGCCCAGCCACACTCGCTGGGAGGTCTGGAAGAACTTCCGCCACTGCCTGGGTCGACAAGAATTCTGCATCGGCCGTGACCTGCCTGACTTTAGCTTGCGAGATTCTCGACGCTAGAGCTAGCATCTGAGTCGGGAGTGGCGGGGCCACTGCACGCTTCAGTCGGGATTTTCAGGAGAGTTCATCTTCATTCACCAGAAGTTTGCGCATCACTACATCGCCAGTGGCTCTGACTGTTCCATACTAGCTGCACAAGAGTCTGAGGCCACGGCATGCAGCACAAGAAAGATGCATACCGATGCCACGGACATGGCTTTTAGCTAAAGGCGACCGGGTCGTTGTGGACAAACTTCTGCGAGGCTTCTGCACAATTTTGGGTTGGGGGCAGTGGTGGAGGGTCACATGCAGTCACTGCAGATCTGAAAGTAGTGTCTCGCGCGACTGAACAGTTCGCGCCTCGCGGCGAGTTTCGCTGCTCTGGGCTGGAATTCAAGAAAAGCTGTCGCATGAATGCCGGAACATTCGGCAGGCGCAGAATCGTTATCGATTTAGGTAGTTGTTGGGCGTGAATGCTGGAGCCAGTGCATCCAGGCAGTTTCTGTGTCGAACCTGAATCTAGTGACCTTGGCCGACATATCCTCCTCCTCCGATTAAAACTCGCTGCATTTCGCGCAGTCGGATTCATCACCAATTTAGTTGTACCTTCAGAAGCACAGAACTGCTGTTCCCTAGTCCTGACTTCCAATTGATGTGGCAGCCCTAGATCCCCCGATCGGCGACCTTGACGACTGGCATGTCTTTGACCTGCTTGAGCATGCCAACCTTGGTCTAAGCTGAGGCAAGCAAGTCCGAGATTGTGCGTGCTTGCTTGTCTTTGTTATTGCGCAATGCCCGACCACAACCCAAGCCGAACCCAGCAGAACACAAATTGCAACAGTCATATAGCCGAGAGGATCTCAACCAGATGCGATGAGCTGCGCGCTACAAGTTGCATCTCTCAGACCTGGACGCACTGAGAGCCTTGACCAGGGAAGAGAAGCGCGACCTGAGACAAAGGAGCCCGTGCCAGACCCGGTCAGCATGCGGAAGATCCCTTGGCAAACCTCGTGATGGTTCCAGAAAGGATGCTCGATGGTGATTTGTTCGGGATTGTTGCTCCAAGCAGCAGAGACTCCCCACAAAAAGCACCTGGAACACCAACGTCCTCAACTCAACCCTGTACTTCGATTCCGGGACTCGGACAGGAAGCGTGGCAGGCTCTGCAGGGGTGGCCGGCAATGCCTCGCTTCGGCATAGGCTGTGTTCGGAACTTCAGTTGCGAGCTTCCTGGGATGTCGGTTGAGTGCTGCAGCACACCGGTCAAAAGCGGCGCTACAGCAGCTGGCGAGGGACGGCAATGATCACAAATGGTCATAGACCTGGCTTACCTGGGATCACCTTGAATGGAGTTGCAGCGACCTCTACACCGGCCCGGCAACAACGGTTTACGTTGGACTGGGCACAGGAATGCACGCCAGAAGAACTTTGTTCATCAGCCGTCTGAAGCTGAGTTGAGGAGAATCCCCGCTGCTCCGGACCTTGGGGGCAGCTGGCGTGATCTTGGGGGCATCCAGCATCTGCACCACCTCTTCCTCAAGGCGCATCTACTTCTCCGATCTGCTGCCACGCGCAGAGGCCATATGGCCATGGCCGGATGGCAGTCGTAAGGGCAATTCTTGACGCGTTTACGACGTTCGGCCTCATCGTCGTCGTCCTTGATGGGGCCGGTTCCGTACTTCATAGGGTCGAAGCCTAAGCTGCTTGCATCTGCTTGCACTTCACCGGGCTTTGATTCGCAGCGTTGGCCGAGAGCAAAGAAATCACAGGCCTTTACGAGCAAGCTTTGGAGCCTTGGGAGTTCAAGGGCCCTTGCCATTCGCCTCCGCAGCACCGGGCCTGGAAGAGAAGTACCTGAGAGGCTGGCAAGCATGAGCTCGGATTTGAGAAGTGGTGCTCAGGGTGTCAGCAAATGGCATGCTAGAATCTGCTAGGCTTTGGTATGTCGGTGTCGGGTCGGCAAGTGGCTTCCTTGGGTCGTCGATGTCACGCATATTCCTGCAACTAATACCTCCACAACGATGGAACGACAAGGCCGAGCAACTAACATAAACTGAAAAGTGTGCGGAAGAGGACGACAGGCGGTAGGATTCCACTGCTGTAGTTTGCGAGTCTAGTTGTGATCTGCCGTCTTCACATGGCCTGTGACCAGGCGGACCCGAACCCAGGGCCCCAACACTAGCAAACTAACCAGCTCTTTTCCCTCAGCAGCCGACCCCTTTGGCGGCTTCTTGCCCCACTGCCAGCACCCGTAGACCTCAGAAGCCCAGGCCCCTAGTCGGGCTGGTACAATGGAGTGGGCCGGCCGACCCAGACATGCAACATATGCAACCTGGAGTTGAACTGATAACCAGGTACATGCAAGTTTTTTTTGCACGGGCCACGACATTCCAGGATGAAGTGCGCGTTGCCAAACCCACCCCCCCAAATGCAGCCATCGGGCCTTCGCATTGTTGCCCTCGCCAGAAGGAACATACCACCCATAAGGGGTGTCCTGCCATGCCAGGGTTTACCAGCTGCGAACCAACGGTGAACTCGCATACAACTTCGAGATCAAACCTTCTGGAAGCCGAGTTTCACCCGCTGACACAGTGCCTTCTCGGATTGCTCCAAGACCTCTACGATGTCGTCATAGCCGGCCTCCTGCAGCAAGTCCAAAGGACTGACGACAGTGACCAGACGCGCATTGATGCATGCCACGTGTTGAATGAAGTGGAGCCCGTGCAATTTGGGGAGCCTGACTTCCAGCCGCAGGCGTAGCTGGGCAGTTTGCGTTACATGATGGGAAAGATGACTTTGATTTGCTAATCTGCTAATCGTTGGCTGTTGACGTAGCAGTGGAGCCCTTCCCCAGCATCCGAGACCCGAAACCTGTAAATCATGTCCCAAACCTTGACTGCAAAGCGGTGAAGCCTTGGACATCCTTGGACCAGAAACTCGCAAAACCGGTAAGCTGCAAATCTGCTGTGATGGCCCCTCCGGGATCCTTGGCAAATTCCAGCGCTGTTCTGCCGTCCTGTTCGAGAGCCATAAAGGAACAGAAGACCAAATCAGCAAGTGTCATTGAAGTTCCGATCGGCCTCGGGATCGTTTCCATAATTCATGCTCTCCTTGACGTGGGGGTCCGCCTGGACGTCTGCAAGAGAACATGTCGTTAGCAATGTAAGCGTCACGCCAGCGCTTAGACCATTAGAGGTGCGCTTGGCCTTCGCCTTTAGCAAGAGCGCCACGCACTCGGTCTGTCCGGCCATCGCTGCCATCTGCATCGCGGTGATCTTAGTCAAAGGGCTCTTGACAGGAGCATGCTCTGACAAGCAAAGCTGGAAACAAACCCTGAGTGACCTCAAATCAGCCTACAAAGGCTCACACGTTGTTGACGAAGCCATTCAAGTCGCCGTTGAAAAGCGTTTTCTCGTCACCGGTTGCCAGCATCTCCTGGGAGGGCTTCTGGACCGAGGACTGTGCAGTAGTGGTGCCACACGCGGTGCAGTGTGCAGCTTTGCAGCGGAGCTTACGTTGTAGTCCAACTCGGAAACTTTACGGATCTTTAAAGCTCGCGACCAGCTTGGGTGCTGTTGAGACGGTGGCTTCGAAGTGGAACCTGGCCTCCAGCTTGTCGTAGTCGCCTGTGTATGACGCCTGGCTGCAACTTTAAACCCACACTTCAACTGCTTTTGTGGCTTCCTCAAGGCAGTTCGGTGTCTCCTCTTGGGAGAAGCACTGCTACTTTCAGATGGGACGGTGGTGCGATCGCGCCTCGCAAACAGCCTTCAGATCGACGAGATTGTGCTTCATGTATCGCCTTCAACAAGACACAACTGCCGCCTGCGAAACCTGACTAAGCCTGGGCATACCTTCATGAAAGTATTTACCTTCATGAAAGTATTTCTGCAGGATTTGGGCCGTGGCGCTATGGCTCTCTGATCAGAAGGCAACGCCTGTGTAATTACTCAGTAAAGTGCTTATTCCGTGAACAGCTGTCGTGATGTAGGATGCGGCCTGAATACCTGGAAAAGAAGAAGGGACGAGTCTATCATGGCACAATCAAGACAACTGCCGAAATGCTGGTCATTCCTTTCAGCATGTTGCTTCCAATCGCAACATCGAGCATCTGCGGCTGGTTACAACCCCCCCATCGACTCGCCGAAACATCAAGGTCTACTGAAGAGCTCTATAAGCTACTGTAGCAAGACTGCAACATCTCCTGAGGCCCGCTCTTTGTGTTGGGAATGGCATTCCTGAAGCCGCTCGTTGGCACGCCCTGGGATGGACCAAAGCTTGCGAACTTGAAAGATCAATGGCCTCCTGAAACTCGTTACGGAAATCCGTCAACCCTGCAGTGCTTTTGCTGTGCTGTGCAGCAGCCTTGGTCCCTGAGACTTGAGGCCCGTGCGCTGGGAATCTCGATATCTGTGCCTGGATGGTACTCTGGCATGGCCTTCCAAAAGGCATGTTCTGCGGCGTGCTGCTCGGATAGTTACAGGTACATTCTTGTCATTTCCAAGACAGTTGGCCAGGCCTGGATCCGCGCAGCCACTCGATGTGGGGCTTCGAGATAGATCGGCGTCTCAAGCCCAACACTTGCAGCAGGCTTGCATGGACAGACAAGTGCAAGCTAGAGCTGGTTGGTTCCGTTCAACTACATAAGACATAAGATGTGCCGCTCATAATAGCAGTCTAGAGCCATGAACCCATAACCAAGCATTTAATCACAAACACGTTGGGAGTACCTCAGCTCTGTGTTCCTGTGCGTAGGAGAAGTTGCGATCGTCTCGCTGAGGTGATTCTGAGCTGTGGCAACGTTTGACTTGCAAGCCAGGCCAAGATATCTGGTTCAGTTGCAGCTTCGCCACGGGACGAATTGCGAGAACGCCGTCGCCGTACGTACTCCCCTATGCTGAGACCCCAGGGGAGAACACTCAGCAAGGCAAGAGAACGAGGTTGGAAGTGGGGGCGGCAACTTCATGGAGGTGTTGAATGCTCCGGAGACGGAGGATGCATAGCATCCGCATCAGATTCCCCAGGAGAGTGACCACCCAACATGCTGAGCGGTATGTGGAAAGCCCGGATCCGGACAAAGCGGTCCCGGTGGACCCAGCTACTTGTAGACCATAGAGGCCTTCAACTGGTTGGCAGCGATGGGACGAAGAGGCTCGAAGGAGCCTATGGACTCTCATGACTTGCCACATGCAGAGGTTTTCGCGGCGCGGATCCTTATAGTCTTGTGTGTTACCAGTGCAATACAGCATGTTTTTGTGTATGGGAGTGCAGCGCATAAGCTGTGGTTGTGTTGCTTGTGACGCAATGGGCACGGCCAAGGTGCATTGTTTCGGATATGATTATTTGAGCGATTATTTAGAGCATGCTTCTTTGAACATGTTCGATCTTGCAGGCATTCTTCGATGCTACCGGCAATATCGCCTTGGCGACTCTGAGGAACACCTTCTGGCCTCAGGCATTCAAGAATATGTTTACGACGCTATCTTCAGAGCATGCTCTTTCGATCTGGTCATGCATCTGGAATGCCTGCGGTTCTGCATTTTGCTATTGTGTCACTGAGCCGCGGTTGCCAAGCTTTCGCGCTTTGTATGCCAATTTGGCTTCCCAAACTGAACTCCGAAGCTCCTCTGGTTTTGCCGTTCCTGCGGCAGCTGCTAACTCGTCTTTCCGAAACCTAGTTGGGAAGTTTAGCATGCAGCAGCGAGATAGTGTTTTGCCGCGCTCCGAAAGTTGTAAAGGCTGTTTTTTGTGCATGCTACTCCCCCTGGAAAACTGAATGTGTGCAAAACGTGTACCACTGTCGCGAGACCGCATCAATTGCATGGACACACATGCAGCTGCAGAAGGCCCTGCAATTCCGCAAGGCCAAGCAAAGTGGTTGCATAACCTGACGACACGAAAGCCAGCTACTCACACAGCTTCCAGCACGACAAGAGTGTACAGACTGGGTAAGGACACTACAAGCGAGCAGACATTCTTGCGCAGACACACTGCTTGGTGACTGACCTACTGCGTGGGCCTTTGCCACGGCTCTACAGGGAAAATCTCACTGGCACCTTTGGACCAGACTTCTTTGGAGCTTGTTCCGAATTCGAAGTGTTTTGAGTAGTGTTTTGCTGGCCGTATGATCATACTTCCGACTTGTAGCGCTTGCCCGACTAGACATCAAAAGTGAAGAACAAACAACCGCGCTGATCACAGAATCTGTTTCCCGAAATGCTCACGTGGGCTCATCTTTGTGCAGCTGACTTGCGGCGCCATAGCGGGCCAAGGGCCGGCGGTCCCGCCTTGGTGTGAGCCCTGAATTTTCTGGACAGGTGTTCAAACAGAGTTGGCGGCTGATGAATGAAGGCTTCATGCCGGCCTTGTATGTTTGTACCTCCTGCACGCGGCAAGCCCCAAGAACGAATGAAAGTGCACCCGGCCGTAAGCCCCAAACCCCAGACCCACTGCACTGCTGTCGGGCAGTCAAGCGGCATCTGTGACCGGATCTGGAAGAATCGCCGCAACTCGCCGCTGAACCAAGGTCCTTCAAACGGTCGTTGGTATAGCGTTTTGGATACTGGATGCTACTGGATGCTAGTAGTGTATGCTTGAAGTTGGAAGCTGCTTGGACGGCCTCACTGCACACACCGAGTGGCACGTGAAATACGACAGGTTGCCATATGATTCAGATGATGGCAAAGTCATAAAGCCCATGCGAAAACTTCCGGCATCATCATGTTTCAACAGGGATCTGCTGACGTGCCGCTGCCGCTAGCCAAAAGATAAGCTTGGGGAATCTTGCGGGGGCGGGGGAGGGCTGCTTCCTGCACACTCCGACCCTGACCAGGCCTTCTGTGTCTTCCGGCAGTAGGCCGTCCTGCTTAAAGGCCAGAGGTAGCCAAGAATCTTGAACAGTTGGGAACCCTCTTGTGCTGGTAGATGCAGGTCTTCTCTCGAGACAGTCTGGCCAAGGAAGATGGGACACTTTGCACCGAACAGGCACTTCTTGCAGCTTTGTGGCGAGGGACCGGACATATGGTGTAGCCTGCTTCAGAACCCGGTGAAGGCGGGGGCTAGGGTCAAATGCAAACACAGGTCACAGTGGAACGACAACAGCAGTCGCCGGATAATCAGAGTGTTTGTGTTGAAGCGGCAGATGGACTCTACTGCAGTGCTCCATAGGTGCATGGTGCCGGGTGCGGCGACTTGGGCTAGCCGCCATGAACATGTACGAGACTGCAAAAACGGCAATCCACCGTATGCCGATCCAAGTAATATGGCCTCTGATGAAAACTGGCGGGAGTAGAACTGATCCAACTCTTCTGCCTCCTGCTGCAAGGGTTCTCACAACCAAGGTTGGGCTTCCGTCCATGTGATCTGGACGATGGCGAAACTTTGAAACACGACGTTACACAACATGACAGTCTGCTTCACATGATGTGCTCATCCTACTGCAGGATGCTATCAACATACTCTAAAGTTGCTTCGTGCCTCTGTCGCCGCTACTTCTGACCGGACTTTCTGAAAATGCATAGGGTGGATGCATTGTGCAGGGAAGGTGTGTGTGGCCAGCAAACAACCATGCCAGAATCAACAGATGGGCTGCTCGGCGTGAGAAGCTCAGCCATGCGATTATCCGGGCTCACCACCTATTCTGGGACCAGGGGTAGGCTTGATGGCAATAGCAATACTGAAAAGATTCTGAACTAAGCCCACAGTCTTCTCCAAACTTTGCGCGGCTAGGTTCTCGGCACGTTATGCTCAAAAAGCCCCCGCTCAGCAAAGCCCGGTATTTGCGAACACCTCGAAGACTTTCTAAGCCTTTCTCTCACTCTCTCTCGACACTCAGCGGTCTCTCTGCCTGCCAGCCTCAAAGCCACAAATTCGAGAATCAATGAATCTTCTCGAAACGAAAGCAGAGCAGCTCCTTTTCGGACTTGCTTTGCCGACTCAAGGCTACCTCGGCAGGCTGAGACATGCTGAGACCAGCATGCCAAGTGCAGCCTCGACTGTGGCCTTCTCTCCCAATGGTGAAGAATGCTACCGCAAGCTCCAGCCCTTCCAGTCTATTCCTCCACGTTTAGATAGGTGAAGCAAGCATGTTCTCCAATGCAACCCATGGGAAGATTCAACATCACATGTGACAGCGCGAGTATGGAAATTGAAATTGCGAGTTGTTCTGTTTCAGCAATGCAGGCGAGAACGATTGAGTCAAGAGTTTGAAGGTTGAACGGGAGTTGAGTTGGTAAGCTTAAAGCGCCGACACCGGGGGCACGTTGAGGGCGTGGGTGGGTCCACGTGACGGCTGCAGGGCTCGAGTTCGCAGTCGAGACCATGAAAGCCCGAAAGTTGGAGAGCTCGGCCTTTGCAATGAGAGTTCGAAAGTTTCAGACATTGACCGGCATGGAGTCAGCGACCGAACCTTTCCGTGGAGGACGAAATCCCTGCATGCATTTCTACAGGATGAACGCATCAAAGTTTCCATCAACTAGAAGTACTTTTCTGCAAGATTCTTTTTCCTAGGCATCATGTTCGACAGACGTAAGTATGTTGACATGGCCCCGCACTCGATCCACCAGCAGGACATCGTCCATCACGCAGAAAGGCAGAACATCGTGACGCACCTCTCAGGGATGGGTAGCTCTGATGCGCATTCTGACTCGATTGCATTGGTTTGTCCTGCTCCAGCTTTCTGAAGCCAAGGCTGCAATCCAAATTTCAACACATCTATGTGGTTACCAGTAGTCGGCAGCATCACTCAACCGGGACGGGTGTCCCATCAACCACAAGGCTCATGCGAGACTGCTCCTGTCGACCGGCCTTCGTCATCATGGTGCAAAAAGAGCTGGTACCAACTGTAGTAAACTGGTGGAGGATTGCGCCTTTGGCCACCTGCTGGGGAACACACCACTTGAAGAGGCCAAGGATCGAGCTACGAATAACGCATGCAGTGTCTTGAGCCAATGAAGCCCAGAGACCTGCTGCCTTCGAGTGTGCAGAACAAAGCCAGAAGAAGCCGTTTACCAAATGCAGTGTAGTCTGGTATCACATGAGATGTTCTTGCTAGCATATGTAGTAGAAGAACGGGTGTCATGCAGAACTCAGCTATGTGCCAAGCAAAGGCCCAGGTCGCATGCACAACTGGCCGAAACTTGCCACTGATAGGGTGGTGGCATAGGAATAGGTGCGCCTTGGCATTCGCCATGAGATGGCAGTATCCAGCCAGCTCTCCATTCAGAAAGACTCCGTCTTCCAGAACCTTCAGGTGCACAGGCACGCTTGTCTTACGAATCGTCTTGTCTTGTTTGATGTGAGATGTCGGAAGCTCTTGCAGCCCCGGTCAATCTTGTGCCTTGCGTGGGTTAATCCAACTCGGAGGTCCTGCTAAGATGGTTCTTCTTACCCTCTCAACTGTTATCAAGTCAATAGTAGGAGAGGATGATGCTATCGCATATCGCAGCAGAACGAACTGAACTACACGAACGTTCTTGCATATTCTTGCTGGAATCCCTAAACAACGGAAGATCCAGCAATTTGACGAGGGCTGACACCAGTGTAAGGTCCAGGCACAATCGTGGGAGACTTCAGCTTTCAATTGGACCATAACCTGACGGCAAACGAAAGAGGCAACGTTGGGCCGTGGAGTCTCGTGGCGAGAGCCATACACACCTACATTGCAAGATATGAGCATGCTGAAAGCAAAGCGTCACTGGACTTGTGCAGCAGCATCTCCATTGCTTTTAGAGGTTGTGCACACTTACGAGCTCGAACCACGGGCACGCGATGCAGAAGGCACCACAGTCTCCGAGGCGGAACGACGAAAGTGCTCAGGGCCCAGCGCCATTCCCGATTCGGGTCACCTCGAGCACGGACAGGATTCACCGTTGAGATCTGTATGGCGAAGGGATCGGAAGAGTAGGCGAGTTGCAAAAGTGACTGAGCCACGCCCAGAGGGACAAGCCAATACGAGAATACACTTACATGTGCGCTAGCAAGCTATCCAGACACGATCTCATTTGAAGTATGCATCCGCCTGAACCATCCTCAGCATTCTGAGACGCCAATGAATCCTCTGAGCTCGGTGCCCCTGGCTGGCCGTTAAGACCTCTTGGCGCGAGCACCTGGAGACTCGCTGGCTCTCTTTTAACAGTGCTCGCATTGGACAATTCTGCTTGCTATGGTGCTGCAAGCATAGCAGTCAGACAGACAGACACCCACAGACACACACACACACACGCATACGTACACACACACACACGCACATACATATATACTGATTCGTACATACATACATTGACATGTTTGTACAGGCATAGAGGCTACGTACATGCACGACAGACGGACAGATTAGTATAAATATGCGGTATTCTGGAAATATTGTAGACTTTGCAAACATCGAGAAAGCGCCTACGTATGCGGTATCTGCTTAGATACCGTCTTGTATCCTCTCACAGAATCCTATTAAGCCCACGGCAAGCTCCAAACTCCAAGGTTAGCATACAGACCATCCTCCACGCTGCTACAAGCGACTGTGCTGGATCAATGTAGCCTGGATGACCGCGACTGGGATCGAGAGGGCGTCTGCCCTGCCACTTTTCACACCTTGGCCAGCTCTCGGTCTTCAGCTCGCTGATCCTGTACAGTGCTGCTTGGAGAAGAGCAGGAGGCACTGCTTGGAGGGCCTACGTCGCTTTTCGCAGCCACCAAAAGGCCTTGCAGAGCTTTTGGGCCCCTGCTCCTCCGAGAGGCTAAATGCCTCTGCGGGTCCCCTGCAAATGATTTCATCTTGCAGGGATCTTCACAGTCCTTATGCGTCTCGAACGATGTTGAGCTAGATCCCCCTCTGAACTTGTTGCCTCTTTCCTTGGATCGGGACCCATATTTCATATGTGGCTGTATTGGTCTCGCACCCGGTTCGCAGCAGTAAGAGAATTCATGACATACCTTGATCGGAAATCTTACATTCTGTTTCTCGCGCAGTCGGCGCTTTTGTCATCCATGTTGCCGGGCCACGGCCGGGTTTCTCGTCTTCTTAAACATGCAACAGGTTTAGTGTACTTTGGAACCGTTCTGGCTGGACTGTCCGACTGCAGAAAGTCTTCATCATGTACACTTACGGCTGAACCGCACCGGGATTTCAACACCAGTGTGAAGTGTCGGCCACGACTCAGAAACTTCTACCAGAAACTTATGCTGGCTGCTGATGAAGCTGCTCTTGTGTGGCTCCTTCTGCCTTGGGCAGATCAGGCCCATGCAAGCTCGAGGATGCCGCAAAGTTGGCGTGGTATGGTTTTAAGGTTTTAAGGGTTTGCCGGCATCCTCAGGGCCCACGACCACCAAGCGTGTTGAAGCCTTTGCGCGTTATCCTGTTAAGACTGGGTGCTTCGTGGCTTCGTCATGTCTGTGGAGCAAAGGCCTCAATTTTCAAGCTTTAAGAAATAATGCAGGCGCACGGTCCCCGCTTGCGCTTGCGCCGCTTGGGCAGGGGTCGGCTTTCTAAGCCAGCGCACTCGCGCCATATTCGCCTCAGGAGCAATGCAAAGGCTTCAGTGTCGTTGAGGGATGATTCAATGTGCCAAAAAGGGCATCTAGAATCTAAAGAAACAGACCTGCGCCCGTCTGCCGACCGCAAGGGCACGTGCACGGAACACATGAGCGAAGGAACATCCATGGATCTACGTCCAGATTGAACCGATGTAAGATCAACTGCAAGCTGCATGGAGTGGACCGCGAAACCAGGAAGGTCGCCGTCAGCCCACAGCTGTTCGAGGCAGAGGTAGAAAGCCTCTGCCTTCAAGCACGAAGCCAGGGTCATCGGGGAGTTCTTTTTCTATAAGCTCTACAATGCTACGGAAAAGTATCAACAACAGTGCTGCAATCTATCGAAGGTTGCCTGCATGCCGCTCCTACACTCTCGAGCAAGGAGAGTTGCGCCTCATCGAGCAGCCCCAAAAGTCTCAAGCTGATTAAGACTCGAGATATTCGAAACCAATTGTGATTGCCCTCAGGGCAGTTCACGACCTCGGCTGCTCGAACAGGAAGCAGAGGCACTGTGCAGCATCAAATCTTTCACGACTGCTTTCCGAAGGCCCACTCCGTCTGCTCTCACTCTCTCTCGTCGTTCCTAATGGTGTCTCTTAGTATCTTCTTCCCACCCATGTCCATGCTCGCATGATCGGACGCGACGGTGAGTCACCCCAAGCCCCAAGCCTTCCGGCATGAAACTTGTTTCTCTCCGGCCTACATTCCGGCCTACCAATACCTCTCATGGCCACGCCGCTTGCAAGCTTGGCTTGGCTCCAATGGCCACGCAACCAGATCTGCAGGGTGCTCTCAATCTTTTAATCCGCCGAGGCCACAGGCCTCCGGCGTCTTGAGGATTAAACTAAAGTACCCACCACCTAATCCTCCTCCCTGTATCCCAAAAATTTACCGACGCGTTTTTGGGGCACATTTTCGAACCCCGGCTGGCCCCTCCTTGACCTGCCCTTTCCCTCCTGCCATTCTGGCCCCTCTCCTCCCCTTTACGCCGCTGCCCGAGAGGGGCTGCTGCACTGTCGAGCCGAGGCGGGCTGCGTAGCGTTAGAATTCTCCTACATGTAGCTGCCCCCGAGCATTCCGGAGTTTGCAGGATCGACGGGAGAAACTTGTCCGTACTTCGATACTGCAATTCCAAGTACACATGACCAGGTCCTTTTTGTAGGAACGCTTTGTGCAGCTCAGGCTCCCAGCAATCGATTCGCCTTGAGCGAAAACTCGATGCCTTCTGCACATTCACTGCCACTTTGCGTGCCGGTACATCCTGGGCCGATTGCATCTGGTTGCGATGAGGATTGCTCATTCGCGTCGGCACTGTCCCTCCCTCAGGAGATCTACGGCGTACTACGGATTGCTAGGGAACATCATCTGCATATTGGGCCTCGGTGTGACCTGGCCCAAGAACCAATGTCATGCCTTTTTCTATGTGTACGGGTTTTTGTGGACGACTGCACCACCCACCTTCGAACAAACATTCGCCCCGACGCTGAGACATTCTCCTCCGAGCCAGTGGACCAGTCGACTCTACTTCACACCTGCTGTATAATTCGTGAAGAATATGCAACCTTCCTCTGCCAGGCGATTTACGCTTCGACACAGGTATAGTCCCCAACAGCATCAAGGGTTAGTTAGGATTCTTGGCAACTCGTGTCATCGATCTGTTTGCACAGGATGTAAAAAAACCCTCCAGTCTCCATAGAAGCCAGCCTACCACGAAATCCATGCTAAGCGAAAGCAACTCCTTACACTGGTTCTTCGATATTGATGGCGCTATTATTGGAGTCAAGTCGCGCTTGGGGTTTGAGGGCTCACCTCGCTTGCGCCGCTCAGCGTGCTCAGAGAGTTCACTGCCACGACCGCCACCTCCTGCGGCTGTGCAGACGCGCGAGAGCGACGTGACGGTGCAAGAGCACCAATGTGGAGCTCCAAGTAATCACTTTTCCCTTTTATTAAACACTCCCCTAATCAAAAAAACACATTGGACCCAATCTCCCGAGATCATCCCTGCCATTTAAAACCTATTCGGAATTAGGGGGGTTAACTAGGGGGGTTAGGGTTAAAGGTTGAGGGTTTAGGGTGAGACTCTCTGGTTGACAGCTGTCGGTCTTCTCTGCTGCGAGGGCCTGTCTGCAGCTCGGTCTG